AATGCAGACACTGCATAGTTTTGGCTACCTCAGCAGCTCTACTCTCTATCTCTTGCATAATACACTTATTTTTGATACGTTCTGTTGCCAGATTTAAACAATTATTTAATAGCAACAACACTAATATTAAGTCTCACTACAAGTTCCATTTACAACAAATTGTGCTGAAAAAAGAACCGAATTGATGGATTGGTCATAGGATCTGCTTTTGGATCGAAAAAATAACTCAATTTATGGACTTACATACGTAGAAAGTATGTCCAATAGTATACCAATCCAATTATACTTCTACACACCGTAACATATACATATAAAGCGATAAAGTGAAAAATAGTCCTGGGGCTGTAATTTGAAAAACCCTCTCCTTTTAATGCTGCTCTCTACTCAGAATCTGTAAACTGGAAGCTAAAACTGCACATGGCAAAACTATCAAATCTAGCAGATAAAATAACACTTCTTTGAGTCAATTTTTGACGCATTTACTTTTATGAAATTGTTAGCAAATAAGTTTTTCAACATTTAATTACATATTATAGTACTTATTATCAGTGTTTAATAATGAATAATGGTCTTTAGGCCGCCGTTCCGATTAACAAAAGAAAATTTGGCCTTTTTCGAAACATTTGTATGTACATTTGATTAAATCGCATAAATTTAAAGCTTCAAAAGCGTTTACAGATTACAAATTATGCTGTGCATGCTCCTCATATAAACATATGTATTCGTAATTGTTATCTTTATCCATTGTGTGTCTATTTCGGATTGTGATCGTAACTGAAATCGGAGAAATTCGTATCAAATTTGTATCTATATTTATATTTCTATTGTGCGTATTTTGTGTAATTAATGTAAAGTGCAATAAATACGTGTTAATTTGCAAACATCCCCTTTTCTATCCTGTGGGCTATTTATAATTTACCTTTCTTGGCGCCCAACCGAATGCAGCCCTGTCTCCAAAGTGCCATTCACAACTTATAAAATCCAAATTTAGCTTAAAACACGCCGGCCCGCTCTAGGTCATCTGCTATTCTTACTTATTTCTGATTTTGCAAACAAAACATTAAAAATTAAAAAGAAAACTGAATCTACGATGAAGCAGCCGGTAGTATATCGCACCTGCGATTCGACAGATGCTGATAAGTTGACTTCGGACCCATCTTGAGCGAGCTCACCAGAAGCTTCCACAGTGTATGTGCAGCAAATGCATCCAGAAATTAATGGGAACCTATTGGTATGTGAGGCAGGCTGGCTGCCAATGAACTATTGCTTGCTATAGAACTATTTGCCGAGCAGCATGTGATGGTGAAACTAGAAACGGAGGATGAGGAAGGAGGGAAAACTGAAACAGACATACATTGTTCTGGGTTATCTGGAATGATGTCTAGACGAAAAAGATTTCGACAACAAGAAATCTGTTGATCCCCTAATAATGATCGATTCTGTCAAGCAGGAAACTGTCCAGGCCAGGCTAGAAAAGCATGTAGATGTAGACGAAGCCGAAGCCGTGTCGGACTTTAAGGACGAACAGTATGTGGGCGAAACTGTCCATCTGATGGACTTCCTTCCGAAAAGCTAATATTCCGGATTTCTATATTTTGCAGCTCGCTGGACAACTTGCCACTGGGACAGCGCATACAGAAATGGAAGACAGGAAATGGCTATGCCCTGCGAAGCTTAAACCTGTCGATGTACAACACAAGTGCAATGAATGCCCAAAAAGCTTAAAACGAGCCGATCGTCTAAATTTTTGCAAACCCCATGGTTATAAGCTCATCGAATGCATGATGTGTCAGAGTCAGTACAACACTCAGTGGACCTGTGACGCCATTTAGAGGAGCATTCAGAAATTATTACCTTGGGAGTGCGCCCGACTGTGGAACCCAATGAGTTGGCCGAGCTGTTCTACCCCGATAGATCCGATGCCAAGGATATTGCTGAGGATCAATTAATTGACTTGAATCACAAAGATTTGGCTGTGAAATAAATCTGATATTGAGCTGGATGTTGAGTCCGAAGATCAACAGAAGAAGCGAAAAACTAAAAAGGCGCACTACATGTGTTTTGCCGTTTTCTATAGAGTAAATTGATTTATTTTTCACTACGCTCCCTTGGGACAACCGTCCTTTCACATTGTTTCGGACTTATTATTTATTTCCGCTGCTATTACGTATACAAAAACTCACTTTAATCAAGTATAAGTAAAAAAAAAACCTCAAGTTTGTCAACAACAAGAAAACATGTTGAAAGCAAATGTTTTTTTAGATTAAATAATGCAAAGAGAACATAGGAGAAAAATAGGTTGTCCAATGGAAGCTGTCGGCGCTGCGCTGGTGAACGCTCATGTGTGTCTTACTGAGCCTCATCCTCCAGGAAGAAGAACTGGCCAGAGCGCTTTTGTTCCGTATCCTTGACCGAAGCGTTCTTGTTGATGCGGGGCCTGAAGTTGTTGGGATCACGCCGGAACGTAATGCCCAGAAGTTCGAGGAAGCGGTTCATGCCATTCAGAAGCGATTGGGGGGAGAAAGCAGTAGTCTTCACCGAGGGCTGGCCCTCGATAACAATGACACGGTCCGCGAGATATGTGGCCATGATGAAATCGTGCTCTACCACAAATCCGGTTTTCTTGGCGTGCAAAATGTAGCTGCAAAATGAGCATATCATTAGTATCAGTTTGGTTACAAGTTTATGTTTTACACAGGTCAACGTACCGCTTGATAACCTTGGCAGCCACCAGACGCTGCTCCGAATCCAAGTAGGCGGAGGGTTCATCAATGAGGTAGACATCCGCCGGCTTTCCCAGGCACAGAACCAATGCTACGCGCTGCAATTCACCACCGGAGAGGTTCTGCACTTCCTGGTCCATGATTTCCTCGATTTTCATGGGCTTCATCACATCTGCAATGAACTGGGGATGCACATAGGCATCGCGAATCTTATCGTGCAGCAAATGACGGACATGATTCTGGAATTTTGGGGAAATCTTCTGCGGCTTGTAGGAAATGTTGAGCATGGGAAGATCCACCTCTCCATCGGGTTGCAGATTACCGGCCAGCAGCCTAATGAACGTTGTCTTGCCAGTACCGTTCTCGCCGAGCAGCACCAGGATCTCAGAGTCGCTGAAATGACCCTTCTCGACAGTCAGCTCGAACTTGCCAAGGGTTTTCACCATTGAGGGGTAAACATAGTGGTTCATCCGCTTTATTTCCTCTTCCGTAGCCGATTCCGATACCTTGAACGTGAGAGACTCCGTGCGGAAACGCATGTTCTCGGTGGGTACAAAGCCGTCCAGGAAAATGTTGATGCCTTCGCGCACCGAGAAGGGCATAGTAACGACGCCGTAACAACCGGGCACACCGTACAGGCAGCAAATGAAGTCAGACAAGTAATCCAGCACAGACAAATCGTGCTCTACGACGATGATGAACCTGGACAGAGAAAATGTTGATTATCAAGCGGAGTTCTTTCCCAGATCTTACTTACTTTGTGGGATGCAGCAGCGAACGGATTGTCAAAGCAGCATTCAGGCGCTGCTTAACATCCAGATACGAGGACGGCTCGTCGAACATGAAAATATCCGCATTTTGTATGCACACCATGGCAATGGCAAAGCGCTGGAGCTCTCCACCAGACAACTGCGAAATCTCACGATCCCGGATGTGTGACAAGTCCAACATATTGCATATTGATGTCTGCAGTTCGCGCTCATCCTTTTTATCCAGCAAGTCGCCAACAGTGCCCCGCACTGCCTTGGGGATCTGGTCGACGTATTGCGGCTTGACCAGGGCCTTCAGATTGTCTTCCAAAATCTTGGTGAAGTAGTTCTGCAGCTCAGAGCCACGGAAGTAGCTTAGGATGTCCGTCCAGTCAGGTGGATTGGCATACTTGCCTAAATTGGGCTTCTGCTTGCCCGCCAGTATCTTCAGAGCCGTTGATTTGCCAATACCGTTCTGTCCAACCAAACCGAGCACCTCGCCGGGTCGCGGTATGGGCAGGCGATGGAGTTTGAACGAGTTTTTGCTATACCGATGCGTCGTATGCTTCTCCAGGTTACTGGGCAGGTTGATGATTGTGATGGCCTCGAAGGGACATTTCTGGGGGGCAAAGGATCATTGAGTGCTCGTAGAGGGCAAGAGGTAAATGACCCACCTTGACACAGATACCGCAACCGATGCACAGCTCCTCAGACAAAGAAGCAATCTTCGACGTGGGTGACACCTCGATGCAGAGCTTGCCCATGCGCACCACCGGACAGGTCTTCTTGCACTCCTGCCGACAGCGTTTCGGCTTGCACTTGTCATCGCTGACAATGGCAATACGCGTCTGCTTGTCGACCTCCTCGTTGTCTTTCCTGCGCGACATGCTGCAAGGTATTGAAGTTTTTAGTCCGAGTAGTCCACTTTTTTTTAGTCCACTGTCAACGTTGCAAATAGCCAGACGTCACAACAAAGCGGGTGCACCGCACGCCCTTGTTGACGGGGCAGGGTAGGGTGCCAGCTGCGGGGCTGTTTCGCCTATTAGCAAAAGTATAACCTCAAAGCGTGGCAAAACAAATGATTTCCACTGCCCACTTTCTTAAACTATCACAAAGTGACCACCGTCTTGTGTGAGAATGGCTGACAGTGCACTGATTTCCTATTAATTTACCTGCGAACTAGGCTGAAATTGTTGTAAAACAGACACACGCGTCAGCCAACAAGTTTCGAAAGGAGGCTAGATAGTATCGATACTCAGTACTCAATAGTGGCGAAATCGAAATCGTATGCCGTTTTCAGCCTATCGATAGCGGGATTTTCTTGTTAAAATTGGATTTAAAATGTCAACTTTTATATTGTACAGCCACAATTATTTTTGAATTTATTTATAAATGACTTAAATGTCTGTGAAATATATACAATTTCGAGGATTACCATGTAACTCAAGAGAGATCTTAATCTAGTGTCACTTATCGATACCTGCCACCAGCGCACACATCGGGTTGACACCTCTAGTTTTTACACGTCGTTGATTTGGTCGGAGGTCTGGAAAATGGTCGTCCAAGAGGAGAATCCCAGTTCTGGGGAAAATGTGGAGAAAACTGAGACTGGGACAGGTGTTGCAGAGCCAGCAAAGATCTTTAAGGTTGAGAGTAAGTACGAAGCCCATTACAAACCCGGCCTGGATCTGTCCACAGCTATTGTGTACAATATGTTTAACCTAAAAAGATTGTATGCTAATGTACACTGAACTTTCACCTTAACTTGCAGTTTTGCACATGATCAAGGATGCACAGCAGCAGCATGGTCTCCGTCATGGCGACTTCCAACGGTATCGTGGCTACTGCACCCGTCGCATTCGTCGTCTCCGCAAGGCATTGAAATACCCGCAGGGCGACAAGCGACACTTCAAGCGACGCGATGTGACCATTACTCAGTTGACAGGCAAGAAGGCGGATGAACGCTACATTCATATCCCACTGATCAGTGCCGAACGGGCCTGGGCCTATGCCATGCAGCTGAAACAGGAGTCCAACACGGAACCGCGCAAACGTTTCCATTTGATCAGCAAGCTTCGAAGGGCGTGCTTCTATGCCTTGCAATTGCAGGAGTTGTGCAAAGTAATTAATAGTCTAAAATATGAAATTTTAATGGTAATCAATGTCTTTCTCTCAGACGGATGCCTTTGATGCCCGCACGAAGCTGGAGTGTGAGGCTTATGTAGCCTGGATGCACGGCAGCCTGCACTTCGAGTTGCAGCTGTGGCAGACAGCCGGTGAGCATTTAAAGCGTGCACAGGTCGTGTATGAGAACCTGGCCGCGGCCCTGCCAGACGATGAGCAAGAACTGTATCGGGCCAAGGTGAACGAGTTTACACCGAATCTGCGCTATTGCGCCTATAACATCAGCGGAGGAGCTAGTGGCGGCGATCTCGATGAGATACTAGAGCTGCGTGCCCAAGGCGTACTCGAGAACTTGGATGTGCTGGTCAGCCAGACGAAAACTGAGAGCAGCGAGGGACTGCAGACGATTGATTGGCGTGGCCGTAAAGTCACTGTGCGTCCGGAGAAGGTGCGTCTGTTCTTGCTCAGTGCCCAGGAGCTGGACAAGTCGTTGGCCAAGGCAAGCAAAATAGATGCCAAGATAGAGCTGATCGAGCGCATCCTAATGGACTGCAAGGACGCCATCCAGGCGGTGCGGGATGAGATCAAGCAGGATCCCAAGCTGCGTTCATTGACAACCGGGCAGACAGTCTCTGGCGTGCAGTATTTGCTGGCCTACTTGAGCTACATTCGTCATAGCCGGACACTGCAGCGTAATCTGTGCCTCGTGGAGCAGGTATGATTAAAAAACCGTCCAAAACACCATTTGTACGCCATTAACGAAAATTTGTCTCTTCAGGCCAAGCTCAATTTTGTCGATCCCAACCAGAAGTCGGAAGTTGTGGGCGATGGCAAACGCGTGCGATCACAGGATCTTGCCCGCCTCTACGAAATCATCTTGCAGAATGTCACCGAGATGCAGCAAATCAACGGCATGGAGGAGGATGCCAAGTATCAAAGTGAGGTAGAGAACCTGGCCATTACTTTCAAGGCCTTCCGCTGCTACTACATTGCTCTCACGCTGATCGATATGAAGAAGTGGAAGGAGGCAGTGGCGCTGTACGAGCGCGCCTCCAACTACGCCAACGAGGCGCTGAAGGGCAAAGCCTGTCCAGAGTTCCAGCAGCAGTTGGAACTTACAACGCTCGTGTCCATTATCGACGGCTGCAAGTTCTCTGCCCACGCGTATAGTGTGCTCGAGGACGACAATAGCGAGGCCGGTACTACCACAAAGGCGCAGAAAACAACGAAACCGCTCTATGAGCGTCTGTCACAATACAAGGAAGACCAATCGCTCCACACCAAGACCCCCAATGTGTTCAAGCTCACACCCGACATGGAGCCCATTCCGTGCAAGCCGCTCTTCTTCGATCTGGCTATGAATTACGTAGAGTTGCCCTCGCTGGAGGACAAACTGGAGCAAGAAGGCAAGAAGGGCGCCTCCATTACTGGCTTCGTCAAGGGATTCCTGGGCTGGGGCGGCGGCGGCGGCAACAAGTGAGGTAGCACCCAATGGCCCATTCTTCTGGAATTCCACTCATCAATGTTACACTTATAAAGAGTTCAGATACATGTCCAGGCGTACATTGATCCGCTGTTCTTTATAGGTTCTTTGTTTTGGCTTTTACCCACGCCCGGCTTTTGTATAGACGAAATATTAATTTTCAAGGAACCATTTTTTAAGTTAAAAATTGAAAAATTATTTGGTAATAAAGGAACCTACAACACAATCAGAAGTGGCCATTGGCGGCTCTTTATTGCGAACGCTAAACGCTATAATATATTATCCTAAGACTACATCACTATGAACACTCTTACATTGGTGGCCTCTGAGTCTGTAGATAGCCACGCTCGTAGAACTCCATCACCAGCTCCCTGATCCGCAAGTGGTACTCCGAGGTAAGCGTTTGGGTGCACTTAATCTCCTTGCCGGTTAGGTTCTGTTCGCTCATCACATCCAGATTGGGCAGGTTGTTCGGATCGAAGGTTACCGCTGGGAGTATCCACATTCCGATGGCCAAGCCATAGTGCACCTGACGCACGTACTCTGTGGTGAGTCGCTGCAACGAGAAGGTATCGCTTAGCTGGTCCAGCTGCTTCGCCGCCGGCGTGTGCTTGAGCTGTTGGTTCAGTTCCTTGGCCACGGCCTCCGCATACGCAGCTAACAGAGTGTCCGTGTGGTCATCCCTCAGACGTCTTCGCGTACTCGTATAGATAAAGTGGAGTATATCGAAGACGGGCGAAGTGCGGCGCATGGCCTGCAGGTCGAAGAAGATGACTTCATCGGGCTCTGAGCGGAACATGATGTTGTTCACCCACAGATCCCCGTGGCAGACCACACTGAATGGCGACTCTGCGGCCGCGTTTATATTCCGCTGCAGTTGCTCGAAGAGTTTCGGTCGTAGTCCTTCAATCAGGGATATGGGTGTGGTCAGACTTCCATCTGCATTGGAGGAACTGAGACTGTCCAAGGCCTGCTGCACAGAGGTGTCCAGTATGGTGGAATAGAACTCGGCCGCATCCTCGCAGTAAACAATTTCACTCATGTGCTCAACCTGAGCGGCGAATAATGCAGACTCCAGCTGCTGGGCAGCCAGGGAGGCGGCATGCATTTGTGCCAGTTTCTGAAAGGAGGCTCTTTAATTATTCGGCAGTCGAATGTAAGCTCTCACCTTCATCACCAGCAGGCAATGCTCTAGCTCTAGCCCATCCAATCGATCCTTCATTCGGTAGCCCAGTGCCTTAAGATCCTGCAGCACAATAATGGGCTCCCCGGTCTCGCTCTGGTCGTGGCTCTCGGCGATGTGGCACAGCGGAAACAGCGGCTGCTGGCTGTAGCGACGGAGCAGCGGCACCAGGTGCCGGTAGGCGTTTATCTCATTGCTGAAGGCCTCCTCGCAGCGGTATAGCTGCCGGCGTGACAGACTCGGTATCTGACGCTTCACAATAACCGTAACTAAAGAGCGGAGGAGGAGAAAACAAAGAGCAGAAAACGGCGTGAGAGAGCGAAACGGAACGGAACAGCTGACTTTTGTTTACACCGCATAGTAGAATTTATGAATGAAATGCCTCGCATACAAACACACACGCACACACACACACACACACTCCCTCTTCCTCTCTCTGGCACACCACTGAGAGAGAGAGCGTGTGCGTGCTGACCTTTAGCGAATCTATATTACGTATACGTATGGGTGCAAGTGCAATGCATTTAGAATGCGTGGAGCAAGGTCACTTCAATCGACGCCCAGCAAAGCAAACAAAAATAACTATGGAATGGACTATTTGATGCCCTCTGCAGCACACTTCTGTCCTTTTGAGTGAGAGGCATTTGGTTTACCCGCTTCACTGGTTATTGGCTGTTCCTGATCCTGGCTTATGGTCACCCGTTTTACCACGGACATGTAGTTGTCGCCACTGCTGCTGCCCGCACTGCACGCGATGTGGTCAATTCTAAAGGACACCAAATGGTTCTGGCTGAACAACTGCCGCAAATGCTCGACATTCTCCTCGTATTGATTGATGACGCTTATGTCCATGCCCATGCCCATGGTGACGGCCATTGCCATGCCGCCGCCATTCGAAGGTCCTGCTGCTGGTGGCACTGCAACTGCCATTGTGTCCATTTCGCTTGACTGATTGATTGGTAATGGCTGCTTTCTGTGGCTTTCAAGCTGCTGCCGAAATAAGTACCCGAATTCAGTTTCAGCCGCTGCAGCATTTTCTTGGGACCTGCTTAGACATGACATACATGCGAATTGAGGGCAGGTAACTTTTTTATTATTATTTTATAAAAAAGGTCAGCTGCCATCAATTTGATGCTGGTCTTCTTTTCAATAGTTTTGTTTTGGGTTACGGTTACGGGTACGGTTCTGCTCTGTAAGCACTTTTGTGCGAATTGCGTGCGAAAAGCAGCGACAGACACACCACCGCGCGTCGGACTGCACGGCGAACAACTGAATCAATCGGTGCTTTGCTTTGGTTTGGTTTATCCAACTGCAGTTCTCCGCACTGCAGTTTCTCACATTCTGACCGAGTGCATGGCGTCACCTGGCGGACGGCGGCCGCATATGAGCAGGCTCTGCTCTCTCCTTCTCTCCTTCTCTCTCTCTCGATTCTGTCAGTTCTCAATTGGAAATAGAAATTGCATTTAAAAGCCGGTAGACAGTATGTGGGAGGTGTGGTGGTGGCAAACCTGACTGGTGTGTGTTTACCCCTGTCGCGTTCAAGGTCACATCCGAGCAGCACTTTCACTTGGCGGAGTGGCGGGGTGGCGTGGTGGCGTGGTGGCGTGTACGTAATGTGCTGCCTGCTCAAAGCGGATGTTGCTCATACGCCGCATTGCCCGCCCCGATAGTCGTTTGCATTGGGACCCCCCGACCCGGCCACAAATGCGTGCACTTGAAATTACATTGGCCGTCCTTGACGAACACTGCGTGTGGGTCGAGGCAGTGTACGGATACTATGATGCACATATGAATAAATTCAAGGCATATTTTACTCATGGATAGGGTTTCTCATAAATGCTACATGCCCATCTCGATTCTGGTTAATCTTCAGTCACGTAGCCACAGACAAAGCCTAAAATAAAGTTCAAAGACCAAGCTCATTAACAGCAGACAATGCACGGCTGGGCTGGGTCGAGCAATTTGTTTATTTAATATGCAACTACAAAGAGGCTAAATGGCCATTAATTAAATATCAAATTTGCCACGGCCAATAAATAAGAAACCACACCACACCCTGAGATCCAAACGAAGCCCAGACAATGTAAATACCAAACCCCAAGTCAAGCCAAGATACGCACCTGAGATCGGGAAAGTTCAAGGCTGTCTCCACGATATATCCAGCCAAGCAATCAGTGCGCGCAGGCCAAAAACTCCGGGCTAATGCTTATGCTTCCGCCTTAACCGATCGGTTTAATAACCCCAAAAGCGTATAACCACAACACCCATAGAAAATTAGGGTCAAACATGTGCAGCCACCAGATTCCCATTCAGATTCGGATTTAGATTCAGAGTCAGACGCGGCATTAATTTCAGGGTCAATCACACTTTCAAAATCGCACATGCATAGTTTCGTTTTGGATTCTAAGTAAGCAAACCTGTCAATCACCCAAGTGAACATTGTAATCTTTGTACTCGAGTATCTCGTACTCGTACTCGTACTCGTACCTGTATACATATGTATCTCCTATGGCTGTGCGACTTTTTCCATGCGTAACCGCTGCCGGCAGGCAACGCAACGCGACCTTTTTTGGGGGGCATTTTATGGAGCATGAGAAACGGAGACAGACACCGATATCATTGCTTTTAATTGCTCGAGCACATTGCCTATCTACCTAGGCCTAGGTCACTAGCAATTGCACTCGATTCGAGAGCAATAGAGCTCTGCTCTCCCCCATTCCCATCCCCATCCCCATCCCCATCCGCCATAATCGGACCATAATTAATTTAATAAAATTTAAAGCAGCCCGCTGACAAACAAACAAAAACTTGACTCATTCTGGTGGCTCAGACATGACTTTGAGCGTGTTTTGGGCGCTCCGACTCGGAGCCGAACTTGAGTTCAACTCGTTTTTGTGGCATTCAACGGCAAGCGAATAAAAGTTCGCTGCCTCGTTATTCTATGATCAGTTTACAGTCTCCACTTCACCCAGACCCAGGTGTTCCAGTTTCAGTTTCCAGTTCAAGTGTTTCTCCCAGCCTAATCCTCAGCCAAATCCTCAATCAAATCCGAAACCGAATCCAAATCCAAATCCGAATCAATGTGAGTGCAGTGCGCGTGGGTGATGCGACCTGCGCAACCAAACGAATCGGTACAAAGAACCAAAAATGATACGATTACGATGGTAGTCCGTGGGATCTTAGCCTTGACTTTGGCTTGGACTCTAACTCTGAATATGTAAATGCATTTTTAAGATACAGTGGCTGCTCCGAAGGTGTACCCTATTACCTGTGTTGATTATTCATCAAGAATGTGGAACCATTTACCACGCTCGAGCATCTCAAGGATTATCTCTGTCTGTGCTGCCCAAAAACAAAGTATCTATTACGATTCCACTGCCCAATCCCTGAGCGCCCATCTCGAGATTTGATTGCTTTGTTCAATTTAAATTGGAACACACCGCGCTCGCTGACAATTAAAGCTCGCCATTCAGTTGGCTGCCAGTCTAATTCTTATCAATAAAAAAAGCCAGTTCCAGTTGCAAAAAGTTCATGGATTAGCAGCAACTGGAACGTTACGTTACAAGCCAAGATCTCTGGCTCTGAGCCGGAGCAGCAGCAGCAGCAACCCATTCCACCGGCCCCGCATATGCGATAATTGATTTTCCCGTACATAATTTATGACGCACGAAACTGACAGCCGACTTTTAGATTAAAAACTGCCACTGACCAGCGGCAATAAATCTATCCGTATTACTTTATTAGAACGTTAACAATAATGCCAACTCCTTCTGCTTCTCCTCCCCCTCATTCACATCCTTGTAGTCATCATGTTTACTGCCTGCCAAGTTGCGTTCTTCGCTGGATGCCTCGCTTTGGCTTTGAGCTGCGTACAGGCTCAGTTTTTCTACCATCAGGCATTGGGTCTGCCTTCGACACACTCGTTTGAGCCGGCAAATCCGTATCAGGGATATGCCACGGCCGATGCCCATCCCTCAGTGGTGCGCAACGCTCAATGGGAGTCGGAGCTTCCTGCCGAGCTGTCGAAGAGTGCGCGATTCTACAATGATCCTGTTGTAGCCGCCAATCTGGCCAAGGCGTCGCTCCTCACCACAAAGGAAATGGCTGTAGTGCATCGCGAGGCGGAGAAAATTCCACGGGATCAGGTCTATAAACTATTCAAAAACGCCGGCTGGCTGAGTCGCAGATAGAAATTAGAAGCAAAATCTGTTGAGAAGAATGGACTTCCATTTCCCACGTACCTTGTTGTATTTTTTTTTTTTGTGTAATTTGTATATTAGTTTGTAAATTGTTAATATATTGTACATGCATACATGCAGATTAAACATTCTTGTAATAAGATAGACAGTGGTCATTGAATCACGGCACAAAAAGCTCGGCTCCATTGCCCGGGAAGGTGGCAAACACAACCTCGTTGAAATCATTTGGCTGATGGCGCTCCAAGAGATGGGGCGGCAATTGAGCATAGTAGTCCCGCTTTAAAGCGTTTATATACTTTGCAGCATCTTCCTGGGAATCGCACATGGCCACAATGCAGCCACCCCAACTGAAAGAAAGGCAGGCCGGATTTGGTTAGGCTTTGAGGGATAGGAAAGGGCATGATGCTTTTACTCACCCGGCTCCTGTAACGCGAGCGCTGACATTCTGCTTTTCGGATATGGCAATCAGACGCTCGACATCTGGATGCGAGCATTCATAGAGCTCGCGCAGGCTCTCGTGAGATTGTCGCATGAGCAACCCCAACTGCTTGATATCTTCCTCGCTGGCATGTAGCGCCAACTGCTCACAAATCTTACGGAATTTAACCACGCGTCCAGATTCTGTGCGAATGCAACAAAATATACAATAATGAAAATGTTATATCTAGGTCCAGGTCCACTCACCCTGAATAACATGCAAGGCACGCTGGCGCAGTTTAAACTGCTGCATGTGCTGCGTGTTGGCCGTGAGGTACTTGGACTCCAGCTCCTGCTCTGTAATTCCCCATTCCTGGCAGATATCGGCTCGCGTATAAACCCATTTAGTCAGCTTCTCTTTAATAAAGCTCTCAAACGTCTCATTGTTCATGCCACAGGCCTCCTCCAGGTCAATGAATCGGATGATTTCCTGCCAATTGCTTAGATTTTTGTGCCTGGCCAGCCAACGCGTTGCAAGGCGGCACTCCACCACCCGCTCATTGTAGTCCGACGAGGCAGCCTTGTTCTTCTGCGCCAAACTGTTGGCCACCACAAAACACTTGCCTGCCGGCAGGATCACCGGGGTTCCATTGAGCTGTGGGTGAAATTCGATGTGATGGGCACAGCCTTCCCGGCCCAAGTAGGCAATGGCCTGGTCCATGCCCCCGCTATGGGTGCCAATGTACTGCTCACACTTAGCTGAAATGGACGCCAGCTCCTTGCGATCCAGCTTCATGCCCTGGACATGCGCTGTGGCCAGAACAGCAGAGCTGACCATGGCACTGGAACTTGATAGACCAGCAGCCAGAGGAACGTTTCCGTCGACTGCAATGCGCATTCCGATGGGACTAAATTTCTTCCTGCCAAGATGTTCTTCAATTCCTCTGACGCCACACATGAAGTATTTATACCATGCCGGGCCGCCAGGTAGTGGAAGTTCAACGCTAGAACGTAATCAGTCAGTCAGTAAGTCAGCTATTACTTTTGGGGAAAGGAAACAATTACCAACCTGAGGCTTTTCAAGTCACACTGAAAGTTCTGGAAATTGGCCTGGTCCAGATTGCGCAGCTGCAATTGATGCAGCTCTGTGGGATTACTTCCCACTGCCAGCACAATGCTTTGGGTAACGGCCATGGGAAGCACGGAGTAGCCGCAATAGTCCACATGCTCGCCTATGATGTTGACCCTGCGAAAGATACTGTCAGCTATAGGTACTGTTTAAATAAACGGAAGGACTCACCGTCCTGGCACACGAACAAAGAAATCCGGCTCTGCTCCAAACTGTTCCTTGAAAAAGGCGCCCAGTCTTTGCATGCGGCCATACATTTTTGCATCTGGCTGAAGCTTCTGTTGGGCAACGATCTCGATCCCGGGACCCAGAATGTCACCAGTTCCATTCCCATTGGCAGTCATGTTTACCTCTAACCGTAAACAGAAACAAACGTTTAATTATAACATTTTTTTTTTTTGTGTTGTTTTTCAGCTGTTTTGGTGCGTCGAACCGTAAACGTGTCGCAACCAACAGTCATAACTCGTTAAGCTGAAAACATAGTACAGCTATTTAAATGCTGATTAGAAACAATAAAACACAAAACCATCCACATTTACGTCAGGTTGGGGCAAAAAAAATACTAATCCGCCAATCTCACCTTATCAGAATGTCAAAACAGCCATTAACACACACACCGATTGCCTAACATACCGCTTATCAGTCGGGGAAGTGTTGTATCACTGTAAATGCATTTTATTGATGCAAATTGAACTTCTTAATTGAGAAAAACAAGCGGAAAGCCGGCATTTAAAAATGTAGAGAAATTGGGAGAGAGAGAAAGAGCGCGATAGATAGCAGCTGATATGCAATGGTTGCCAGGGTTTCATACTTACTTACCCAATATATTCTTATCGTTCTTTTTATAGGTCACAAACGCTCTTGAAGAAGCCTCTGGGCGTTATCAGGGGAGGAGTTTTAGTTTTTGGTGCGAACGCTACGGATTCCAACCAGTAACTGAGTGATTCCGGCCTGCACCGTTTCCGTTTTGTTTAGCCCGGGAATGGAATGTGTACGTGTGTGTAAGAGTCTGTATACTGAAATCAGCAACACAACTTGTTGAGAGTATTGTTTACATATTGTTAGCCGCTAACTAGGTTACGGCACTCTCCTGATATGTATACTTTTCTAGTTCTTTCAAACTTGTTATGCTATCAACCATGAACGATGCTAAACGTTTGTTTTTGAGTGTTCCTTCAGCTGATAAGATGATCATTCAAAATGAGAAATCGTTAAAGTTTTGGCACTGCAGATATTATTGTGCTATCAAGGAAGTGCCACCACCAGAGATCAGCTGTCGCGATTTATCGAAGCACTGCCATCTCAATTGCGGAACAAAACACAGTAATCTATTAGATATCTGGGGGAGATTTTCCCGTGGACATCCGTTTTGAAGACCGGCGGCGCCCTTTGCTGCAGTTGTGGCTCATTACTCCTCCCTGCCTGAGCTCAGAGGTGCTCTACACGGACTGTTCATCAACAAGTAAGTGGCACAAGAGCAAATCGCTGAAACTGGTCTGGAAACTGGGACCCGCACTGGCTACCGGCAACACCATTGTCCTAAAGCCAGCCGAGCAGTCAATGTAATGCCTGGTTTCGGTGGAGCTGGCGCTGCCCTGGCTAATCACGCAGATGTCGCCAAGTATGTACGTGCCCTGCATCCCCCCCAGCTACGACAGACTGCCCGAATGTGCCGCCGCCGGTGTCCGGCAAGAATATCCGTGCCCAGCTGAAGCTCTCTCTCCTATTCTAAAACGTTGCCTCTTTTAGCTTCCTGGGCGAACTCGCAGAAGCTTCGCAACATTGCCGTGTATGCCATGAAGGTGTCGGCTCTTCTGGACAGATGTCGACAGCCATCAGGCCATCGTTCGGGCCCGAATCGAAGGCAATGAGCGTGCTGGAAGGAGTCACGGTGCTGGACCTGGAAAAACAGTCCGATATGATCTACTATTCCCATGGCAAGCGATTCGATGGAAAGAACAAGTAAGCAATGACTATGGGCTGTAATGGCTATGAGGCTATGACCTGATCCTGTAATCCCCTGCTCCCTCTCCACAGGATAGCCCTTTTTTCATGCACATATCGCAGGTGAACAACATTGCCGCCTAGGGGGGATTTGTGTACTGGCTGGACGACAAGACCGGACTGGAGCGGATCACTGTCAACGGAGAGCGTCGTTGCGCGGAGCTGCAGCGTCTGTCGCAGTTCACCGACATCAGTGCCGTGTGGACACCGGATGTGAAAGTGCTGCGCATCACACGTGTCTAAACAGTCGCAGTGATGTCACTGATTTGTTTGGCTCAAAGAGTATCTTCATATTAAATTAACGAAATATACAAAGGCCTATACACGCATCATTTCTTCAAAAACCAGCAACACTGCGACTGTTTTTTTGTTGAACTATTTTGTTTAAGCCTTGTTTTAGTCAAAATACAATAAAAGCTAGAACTAAAAACTAACCAATCTTGAAAAAACTTTATTCATCAACGGCCTAAAATTATGTGGGCAGAACTAAGGATTTTAGTTAGCCAGAACTCTTCAACGGAATCTAGAATAAGCCAGTTAAGTAAAAAATTGATTCCTAAATCGTATAAAATTATGTGGGCATGGCAAAATGTTTCATCTAGCTAATAATATCCGACGGAATATCAAAGTTTAACAATAGGAACGACTATCCTCGTTTTTTTTGTTTGCCCATTTTCGCTAAAACCTCTTTTTACGCAAAATGCTATAAAAGTAAGTGTCTAAAATAAACCAGTTTAATAGAAAATAGGTTCATTAATTGGACAAAATTACGTAGGCAGGGCGGAAGATGCTATCTATCTAGTAATAAACGCCGGAATATCAAGAACCAGGAATATGTATAATAGACGGTATATTTTTTAAATAAGAAGGTATATTTTGGTATATTTCTGAGGGTCGGACGGTATATTTTAACGATAAATCCGCGGTCACACTGAGCTCTAGTCCATTGACGGCTTTGTTATTGTTTATGTTTTTGGCTGAAAAATGGCCACGAAGCTAAATGTGAACATCCGCGTAATGCTGAACAACTGCGAGGAGCTAGCCAAGAACGAGGCTAACTTCTGGCGCCTGCAAAAGTTCATCAAAGCGCTGGACATAATGGTCGCCGAGCTGCAAGACATGGACGACTCACGGAGTGCGCGCAGGATCTCCGGGTACAAAGAGCGCCTCCAGGCCCTCAAGCTGACCACCGGCTACACGGAAAGTACGAAAATCCAAACGAACGAGGTCGAGGCTGCGGAAGTATCCCTGAAGGAGATGCGGCAGATCGAGAGCACGAAGAACTACAACCACATGCGAAAGGATCTACTGGAGGGTGAGACGATTGCCAAACCAGCCACCAGACCACAGCCATCACTAGCTTAATTCCCCCGTTTTTAATAGTAGATGGCGACGCCCTACGGCGACGACGTGGCGTTGCCGAGGACGCCGGCGGCAGTGGCAGTCCCAGCGGCAGCTCCAATAGTCCGGCCACCGAAGGCGACAACTTGAACGAGGCTGTCAAGTATTACAATCAGAAGCAGGAGAAAATTACAGAGCACATGCTCTCGCTGACGCGCAACCTCAAGGAGCAGACGATGACGGCCAATCGCATTATAAAACGTGACACCGAATTGGTGACCAAATCCTCTGGCATGGCAGATCGCAACATCAATTCGCTCGGCAAGGAGGTCGAGACCCTAGAGCAGCACTCGCGCAGTGCCTACAAATGCTGGGCCTGGATGCTGTTTGTCTTTGTGTTCTGTACATTTGTAGGTGGGTCATTGATTAATGGAAAGTGCAAGCTTGGATCCATCACTAATCTGCCGGTTTATACCTCTCATTCCAGGCATGGTGTTTTTCATGAAAATCATGAAGAAAAAGAAAACGTAGACTACGGTCTCCAAATAAACCTAAAGTCTCAAGAAGCTTCATGTCTTTCTATATATCAATCCGAAAAAAGCTTTAGTTCATTCTGTTCCCCGAGCTCTTCAAGAGTTCAAAAGGTTATCAAAAGCTCAGCAAATGTTACCCCCAAATGGTTTAAACAGACAAACATTAAACGATCGAAAGCCGCCAAGCGATGTATTTATAGTTTATGTACAAGCGAAAGCATTGAGATTACGGTTTGAGCATTCATTTCATCAGCATGGGGATCCGTGGTTTTCCTTACTACTCTGCGGCTATCAGCTCGGTAATGTCGCACTTGGTTATTAGCTGCAGCAGGGAGCCCGTCTTGGGGCGCTCCTGGGCTTGGGTCCAGTTTAAGAACAGACCAGCCACCTCCTTGAGGGGTGTCCAAGTGCTAAAGTCTGCGTCTGGCATCCATTTGCGGTTCATGGGCGTGTCTAAGGTCACAGGGAGAATGGAGACGACCAGGGAGCCGCTTGGCAGACCAGAATTCGAGCCAGCAAGCGAACGTGTCAGCTGATGGACAGCCGCCTTGGCCATGCCGTAGCCAATCATTCCAGGAGTGCCCTCCAATGCAGGCTTGGCCCCGGTAAGGGCCAAGAGCCCGCCCTCCTTCAAATGCTGAGCGGCAACGGCCGCCGAGATGCTCGATGTCCACACGCTCTGCTTCCACATGAGATCGGCGTTCTTGGCCAGATCCTTCTTGGCATTGCCGCCAGCCCAGCCACCGGCCACGCAGATCACGGCATCCAGCTTCTCCCCAGCGATTGCTTCTCCCACTTTACCCACCACAGTGGCCTCCTGCTCCGACCAGCTGCCATCGCGTGGCACCACAATGCTCACGTCGGCCTTGTCGTTTTCGCTCAAGTCAATGCTGCCGACCCACTGGGAGTCACATGCCGAAGGTTGTCCGAGAAACAATGAAACAATTAAAACTCGTCGATTGCAGGTGAAAGGTTTGCCTTTGGGCAGCGGATACTCACGTAGTTGTTGGCTTTGAAGTGTTCAACACATGCGGAGCCCAGTGCCCCCTTGCCACCATAGATGACGACTCGGCCTGCGGACATGATGCGTGCTGCCAGTTTTACGGTTCAAATGAACTGATCGGGGATAAAAATCAAAACCGAACTTGGGCTCAGGCTCGGCTGGGGTCTTATCTATGACTCAAAGCAGCTGGGGTTTTTGAACGCGCGCAAGGTGGAGACCAGTTCTACCGGTAGTGGGAATTTATTGGAGTCGACAACACACACACACACTTGGACAGAAGCGTACGCATACACAGGGGGGCGACGCAGGCGTAGCGGCTCTTTCAGTTCCAATCTCAATGTAGTACAATTTAATGCTAGGGCAATTTATTTAATTTTTGCCTAATTCGCCAATCGGTTTGATTAAAAAAAAACGCTGAAAAATGTGTCTGCGCCAGTCTGAGAAAATACGTCACAAACTTCAAAATATACCGTAAATATACTGACGAATTATTTGTATTCAAGTTCCATCATATTCCATCGTTTCTGATATTCGGTTGAATATCACCAGCTAGTTAAGACCCTCAGCTCTGAGCTCATTATTTTATCCGATTATTACATTAATTTCCTAAAAGATTGGTCAACTTTCAGCTCTCATCTTTACTGGATTGTTTATAAAACAAGGTTTCAGCAAAACCGGTCAACAAAAATTTCTACTAAATTAATTTCCCTACATGTAACTACGCGCTAACTACACATTTGCTACATATGAACTACATTTACAAGTAATTACCAAAGGCGACACCTGAAGGGGAAATGTGTACGTTTCAAAATTTTTTGCCCGTTTCCTTTTCATATAAGCCCCATGGAAGCGCCAGTGTGAAAAACCTCTGAATCCCGACCCGGGATTCGATGCTGATCGCGAATTAGTATTCGATGCGTCCTGGGACTTGGCTCTTAGTGGTGTTTATGCACGGTTTCTACATTGGTGCATTGCTCAAGAGGGTAAGTTCATTACGTGTCTTAAAATATACTGGAAAATACAAGGAAATATTAAGACAAATTTAAAAATTGCGAGGTGTGTGAGCTAGACGTGGTGGCAAGAAAATAAGAAAATCCGATAAAGTAAACGGTCTGACCCTCAGAAATATACCGAAATATACCGTCCCATTTTAAAAATATACCGTAAATATACTGTCGAATTGAAGTTCTCTTAGACATATTCTCCGTTTTTGATATTCCAGGGAATATTACTAGCTAGATAGAATCCTCAGCCGTGCCCACGTAATTTTATCCGATTAATGAATCAATTTTTTACTTTTAAATACTTCCTTTTATGGACTTTGCCTAAGAAAAGGTCAAACAAAAAACGTAAAACGTTCCTATTGCTCAATTTAGATATTCCGTAGTATAATTCTGGCTAACTAAAATCTTCGACCCTGCCCACATAGTTTTATCCCATTGATGTATATATTTTCTACAAGATTAAATACTTTTAAGTACTCCCATTTACGGTATTTTGACTAAAACAAGGTTTAAACAAAAAGTTCAACAAGAAAACAGTGGCAACGTAAGTTGAATGTCATTTCTTACTTGTTGCTTGTCAACCGGAGTATGGACCTTTGTATACCCTGTCTCGTTAATTTTATATAATGATACTATTTTTCAAACTTTTTTAAAACGTAATTAATAAATACATTTTCTTAAATTGATATGTTTTAGATTATAGAGCCTGGGACGAAAGCAAAAATCGCGTCGTTTCCGTTTGCTGTATTTAGATCCAACCAAATGAAAAAATAAGTTTATATGGATATATGATATGTTATATACAGTCAAATACATATTAAAACTAACTTATCAATACCAATTTTAATACTAGTCCTGGGCTCCGTTGAACTGACCACATGGCAAGTACCCAATCATCAGCATATGTCGATTCAAATATAGTAATTAAAGCACCTAATTTAAAAATATGGAATTAGTCTTGTTGCCTATCGATTCAAAGAGAGCCTTAACCGATTCGAAGAGAGCGAGAGCCAAAAACTCTAAATCAGGACCTCATTGAGCGCGCCAATAGAACATTTTTGGAATTGCATATATCGCTTAATATGCCATGTTTTGCCACACAAATCAGCCTTTTTTCTTTAAAAAAATTGGCCTTTTGAAAAGGTAACTTCTCTTCACTTTCAGAGTATACAAATATAAAGGTAAGCAAATTTAATTGAAGGGACATAATTGTGACAGCATATATACCACATATGTGGTTTTCGGTCAGAGTGATGATTAATACTACCATCGGCCACACCTAATATAGTTATACCTTGCGTTCACATGCACACAATTGTCCCAAAGAGCGTGTGAGAGAGCGCGTGAGAGAGGGTGGAAAACATAATAGGCCCCCGCGCGATAGTCGTACCTTTTGAAAAATTCTACCATGCTTATAATATACTATACTAGACTTTCCACCGAATTTCCACCAGAATAATACCAATACAAAGTTCCACAGACAGAAGCTATATTGCAGAGCCGCTTTAGTACGAAGCCCCAGCTGTGTTACATCACTGCACTACAAAAACGTTAAGTTATTTGGGAGTAGAGAAGTTTTGCGCGGAAAATCGTAGCGTGTTGTGTTGTTTGAGGTCGATCGGTTTTTCTTTCCTATAGTTTGCTTGCCTGCGCCGCCGCCTGCCTTGCTCTGCCGCCGGACTGTCACAACACATGTTTGTGCCGTGCCACACACAATACACAATACAGAGAAAAACACAAACAGAGTAGTCGGCGCGTTAGTTTTTCCATTTCCACTTGGAGCGGGGGCCCGTCTCAGTCTCATTCTAGTTGTGATTTGTAGGAAGTAAGTTCTCTAGTGAAAAAGTAGTCAAATAAAATATATAATAATTCGAAACGAATATCGGGACAACACAAATAATACAACAATAAACGAAAACACCACCAGAGTAGTAGTGGAACAAACCCGCGAATCGTCCGTTAAATCAACGTACCGTCGCGATTGAGTAACCGTACGAGTAATTTAACGCAACATAATGTGTAATGTGTGTGAGCAACCACAACAATAAAAGTCAAAAATATATTCGGACGCGGGGAAGGACGCAGCGGCCACTAAATAACGGTAAGTGTGTGAAGAGGGGTAAACAGATGGGGTAAATGTCACTGCGTGGAAAACTCAGAAATTCCAGGCGAAAATTCTCAACTCGTTTTCCTTCCTTCCCTCTGTATCTCTCTTTCTCTCACACTCTCTCTCTCTCTTCGTGTGTGTGTTCATTTAAGCGGAAAACGTGTATTCTTAAGAAAACCAGAAAATCGAAGCCCGGAATTGGGTCACTATGTCAAACGCGCTCCAACTCTGTTTCTGGCTTAGAGTCTGGCTAACTCCCTGGTCTCTGGTCTGGCTAAAACGTGTTTCATGTTCAGTCAATTTGTTCTTTTTATCTAGTCGCAGCTGCGCCGCTGCCGCTGTGGCTGCCGTTGCCTTAAGTGCTGCTCTTTTGGCCGTCAACACTTGACGCTAGGCGGCCTAAACAGCATCGCCTACCAAATGCCTAAAAAAGCGGGTGTGAATGTGTGTGTTTGTGTGTGAACGAGAGAGAAGGAGAACCGTTTGTCTGATTGTCACCCGCGCGAATGGCTTAAGAGTACCCTGTAATTGAGTGGGATATACGTACATATATATATATGTGAAAGATAACTTATATTTAAAAAATTTTTGACAAGAAATGAAAGGGGGAAATATACACATGAAATATTTTTCGACTAACATCTTTGTTAAAGATCACTAATAAGTATCGGCAAGCCGTCACTGCCCAACGTTTTCTCAAATAGTCGTCCGCTCTCTCGCTGAACATTCGCTCTCCCTCTCTCTTGCATTTTCGGGCACTCACTCGCTTCACTTGATCTTGCACTCTGTCGACGGCGACGCGACTGCATTGGAAGCAGCAGCGACTGCGCTGTCACGCTTTTACCTTGAGCACGCCTGCACTTGTCGCAGCGCTCTCTGCTGTCCGCTGTCCGCTATCCGCTCGCCCCCCTACCACCTCTGCAGTTTGCTCGTTATTTGAATTTTGAAATTCTGAATAAAGCCGAAATTGGAGCCAACCGCCTTTCGAAACTGTTAGCCAGACGGAATGGTTGGTTAGCTTTTATTTTGGTTTTTCTTCTCTCCTTTTTGATGTTTGCCAATAAAATTATTACGACTTGGCCTGGCCGACTGCTAATGCGTTTTGAGGTCACACCAGTTCCGCTGCCTGCCCCTCGTCCCATCCATCCATCCACCGGGCGGACGAACGGGTGACCCAATAAAAAGATGTTTCGTGAGCGATGGATGCGATGGATGGGCGAACGTGTGTGCGCGCCTCCCGCTTACATTTCTCGGTCCATTTAACATGTGTCCGTTTTGGCTATTTCTGATTTGATTTATTTCAAAGTTATTTATTATACAACCAGGCCCAAAGCAAAACAAACAGCGTTAACAGAGAGCGACAGAGATAGAAGGAGAGAGAGAGAGAGGCAGCATGACAGCTGGTGCTCATGCTCCAACAGGATACGGTTACGGATACGGATACGGACCGGGGGATAGGGATAGGGATAACAACACGGGAGAGGAGAGGAGCCATTATAGGTTGCTGGTTTACTAGTTAACGAGGCCCCACGCACATGGCCCATACAACGGAGAGTGAGAGAGAGAGTGAGTGAGTCCGCGAGAGAGAGGGTATTTAGAGAGAGCGCTGTGCAGGCGGGGGGCAGAGCAGGCACTGACACTGACAGTGGAGCAGGCAGCGTACCTTCGTCACCTTCATCATGTGGTCTTCGTGCCTGTATAAGAGCAATAAATAATGCACACGACGAGCACCTAAGAGAGAGAGAGCGAGAGCGAGAGATAGGAAAGAGTGAAAGAGAAAGTCGGCCACAGTCGGAGGAAAAGAGCGAGACGATTGAGAGAGAGTCGTGCGGGTGGCCTCTTTGGGGGGTGTGTGTTTGATTTTTGCACTTAAGAGCGCAAAAAGTGGCTTTGATTTTCGGCTATGCCCTATTACCGGGGTTTGGGGTCGCACGCCTGTGGGAATTGATTAGATGGCCCCCAAAGGGAGGCCGTAATGAAGAGTCATTTAATTGTTAACTGTAGAATGAGTGGTTATGGGTTAGCAGATATACTCTCCCTCTTTTTTCCTCTATCACAAATAGAGTAAAAGTTATCCAAGGGGTGGAGGAGGATGGTTCTTTGGAAGGACGTTTCCCTTATTCGGACCTGTGGTAACCTTGGGCTTCCTTACACTTCAAGATGTGTGTAACTCATATTTGGAACAATTGCTATGGTTATTGACTACCTAAATACTAAAAATCATTCAAATCTAATAATAATTCCCAGAAATAAGCATATACAT